ATCAAAAGGATCATGTTTTGTGACTAGTAATTTTAATTCTAGGCAAATATCCTAAATAAACTCATGCATCTGTGGAACCCACTCCAAGATCAAAGGGCTCAGAATAAAAAAAGATGGTACAAACACACCAGAGAGAAAAAGGAAAGAAACATGTTAGATAAAAAGGTGGCAGGGGTCGGGATTGCCATGAAACAGAAACAGAGAGGACTCTGGCAAAGTGAGAGTTTAATTGGGTTTGGCGCTGGTCCTCAACTCGGGTTGAGTTGAGGTCTAAGGTTCCTGTCTCTGGCCACACAGAACCATTGTCTAACTTGTACTGTGGCCAGGCAGAGGTGCAGAGAAATTTGAGGTGTTTAGGTCTGACAGAGAAGATTGAGGGTTTTACAGATTTCAGAAGGCAAGCGAGAGGGGTAAGTCCAGCAGGTTTAGAATTGAGGGTGCCCACTTTTAATTAGAGGGATGAGGAAGAGAATGAAAAGGGCAGTTAGTGTGAGGAGATAACGGAGGAAATGAGAGCTGAAGAAGGGAAATGAGAAGGCTGTGGGCATCTCCAGGGGAAGGAGAGGTTGGGCTTGAGGCTGACACAGAGCAAGTGCCACAAGGAGGAGAGAGACTGAGAGGACTAGGACAAGAGAGGAAAGAGGCATGAGAGGATGGATAGGTGTGCCAAATCGCTGTGCGGGGCCAACATCCAGGGAGGGCCGACATCCAGGGAGGCGTCCCTCTAGGGAGTGGGTCCGGAAAAGGAGAGTGTCCCAAGTTCCTAGGGCAGCATCCTGTGACTAGGGAGGGGAAAGCATGGGCTCTCCTGACATGCAGGCATGATTTAATGAGGAACAGGAGATCCAATGACTGTATGACACAGAGAAGGAGAGGGAGAGAGAGAGGGAGAGAGAGGGGGAGGGAGAGAGGGAGGATCAGGAAAAGATTTGAGAGCATTGGACGATGGGTCTATCCACCATGTGGGCTTAGGCAGACACAGCAACTGTGCCTGACACTCAACGGTCATGGAGGCCCGTGCTGCCCAGTGGCCAAGTTTTAAGTCTGGGAGTGACTGATGGTCATGATGAAAAGGAAAGTGCCGAATGGCAGGGAGAGGGAGGGTGGCAGCAGAGGGTGGAGGAAGGGTCAGAGAGAGAGAGAGAGAAGGGGAGTACCTGATGGCTGAATCGATGATGAGTGCAGGAGCTGGTATCTGGCAGTTGGTCCAGCCAGAGTCTTCACCACCACACCCAAATAGGCGCTCCAAGTCAGCGGCACCATATGGTTAGATAAAAAGGTAGCAGGGGTCAGGATCGCTGCAAAACAGAAACAAAGAGGACTCTGGCAAAGTGAGAGTTTAATTGCGTTTGGCAGGGCTGGTCCTCAACTTGGGTGTGAGGAAGAACCAGCAGCCTAATGGCTGCAGAGGGGTAGCTTATAAAGGGAAAGAATGTGGAAAAAGAGAATATTTTTCTGCTGTTTGGGACTGTTTTGGGGGCTGTTTGCTCAGTGGAGGGTGTGGGGTCTGTACCTTGTGAAGTATATTGGGGAAAACATCTACTGTAAAACATGTTTTTCTACAGTTACAGGGTTCCAGGAATTAATTCCAGCTAAGGGCTCGGGAAACCTGTTTGTCAGCCTGTGGGGCATGCTCTGGTGATCACAATACATTGGTCATAAACTTCCTGGGGCTGCTTTTGTTAACTTGCAGGTGGCTGGGAGTTGGTTGACTCAGCTCTTCTTAGGAGCCTCATGGTTTCTGGGTCTGGGGTCGCCTGGATCTGAGTCCTATCAAAACGCATGCCTACTTGCAGAGCCTCAGAAGAGTGGCAGCATAACAGCTTGTATAAGCCAAAGGCTGGGAGCAGGGTTACTGGTCATGATAGTCATGATGGTTAGTTTTGAGCATCACCTTGACACACTCTAGAATCACTTGGGAAGACAGTCTTAGAGAAGAACTATTGAGATAAGGTTGGCCTATGGGCATGCCTATGAGGCATTATCTTAATTGGGTTAATTGAGGTGGGAAGACCCACCTGGAATGCAGGCAGGGCCATTTCATGAGCTGGGCCCCAGACTGTATAAGGGTAGAGACATCCAGGAGCTGGAGAGATGGCTCAGTGTTAAAAGCATTGGCTGCTGTTACAGAGGACCCAGGTTTGCTTCCCAGCACCCACATGATGGCTAATAACCATCTGGAACTACAATTCCAGGGAAAGGGAATCCAGTGCTTTCTTCTGACCTCCACAAGTATTACATGACACGGGTGCACTTATATTCATGCAGACAAAAAAAAAAAAAAAATGACATTTGGGGGGCATTGCACGACATGGGTGCACTTATCTACATGCAGGCAATACACACATACACATAAAATAAAAATGAGTAGAGACATTCTGGTGAATGCTAGCTTCAAGCTGCCAGTATGACTTCTCCAAAATGATAGGCCATAATAACTGGGACTTGTGAGCTAAAATAAACCCTTTCTCCTCTAAGTTACTTTTTTAACAGGGTATTTTATCAGTCACAGAAATTCAACTAGAATATTTGTCTAACAGAGAAGTTACACTCATTTGTTCAGAAGAAGTACAAACAGAAAATGACCTAGATGTATACCGTTGTGTATCTCAGTAAACTGGCAAAAGCAGAAAATTATAAAATGATACACACATGATTTTAATTTCTACGAGTATTTAAGACAATACGTAACTTATATAGAAAAATGACAACATGTGTATGTAGACTTCAGGACACTGGTTGGTTCTGGAAAGAAAAAAATGAAAGGAAATGGGGTTGGGCTGTAAGTTAAAGAAACTAATTTGTGTTTTCAGTCGTGGGGTTTTTGTTGTTCTTTCATACATGTTTGCAATGTTTATGATTTGAGATACAATGTTTCCTAGCAGCTTGCACAGTCGATATAAAAAATCAGTATCAAACATAGCAAAGGGTGGTGAGCAGGGGATGAGGGAGGTGACAGAACTTTCCAGGAGCCAATCAGGGCTTGGGCTGGGTTCTAACCTCCCTGGCATGAGCAAAGGAATGTTGCCTGTTAATTTCGAAATGTTCGTTTGAGAGATTCTGTTGGCTTCTCTGCTGTGGTCAAAAATGGCTTTGGGGATCAATGAACCAGTGGTGTCTTGGGGTGGCTTGAAGTGTTTCAGCATACTTTTTGTGACCACTGAAGTCTGTCGTTGCAAACTTTGCCCACGTCATCCTGTGTAATGTTGGTCCTTAGGCTCATCAGGTAAGAAACCGGGTACTCTGGATTCTCTGTGGATGGCAGTAAGAGACAAAGATCCTCTGGGGCCTGGTCTCTAGGCCTTCATCTTGGGCTCCCTTTGTTTGGGTGAATCTGTGAGAGCTGTGAGGAACCAGTAACAGTCAGGTGAGAGGGGACAGGCATTCCTTGAGGTATTGTGACCACTGCCCTCCTCCCTTCTGCTCCCTGGATCTCTCCCTGCTGTACTGTCTTCCACATAGATTGTCCCCAGCGTCCAGGTGAAGTTTCTCAGAACTGGAGGGAAACTTGTAAAATCATTGTAATTATTTGCAGTGTTTCAAAGCAGTGACTTAATGCTAAGTATAATTTCAAAACCAGTAACTGGACAGCTGGATTCTCTAACCAGTGAGAACTCATGATGCTCCAGGTAGTATTTATTTTATTTACTTTTATTTTTAGAACAGCTTCAGATTTACAGGAGTGCTATAAAGATAATATAGAAAGTTCCCCTATTTCCTTGTACACACTGTCCCCTATTGTTAACAGCTATATATAAGGAGGATTTTTTCCTTTCTTTTTGGTCTATTTATAGGTTTTGTATTTCGAGGTTCTGGAAATTGGGTCTTGAACAAGTGAGGCAAGTTGCTTGATCCTCAGCCCTTCCTTCACCCCTAACTTCCTCTAAAATTATTGGTATACTACCTAGTACATGTATGTTTTCCAAAAGTACTCAAAGGACTAGTGAGGGACTGATGATCTGAGTTGGGTCCCCAAGACCAATGTGGTGGAAGGAAAGAACTGATTCCTGCAAGTTGTCTGACCACCATACATGCACCATGGCACCAAAAAAAAAAAAGAAAATAAAAATAACAAATAACACAAAAAAAAAAAAAAAAAAAAAAAGGCTGAAAATGAATAAATGAACATAAATGCCCTATTGAGAGCCAAAAGTTCTGAAAACCTTCAGGAAAGATTATTATATAATTTATTCTTCCTTATCCAGTTGTAATTCTTTTTATTTGTTTGTTTGTTTGGGGTGTCTGTGTATGTGTGTGCATGTGCACAGGTACATGTGTGGAAGGAGGTCAGAGGCTAACTTTTGGGAATCACTTCTCACTTTCTGCCTTGTTTGAGGCAGGGTCTCTCTTGCTTCTGCGTACTCCACGCTAGCTGGCCCACAGCTTCTGAACGCGTCTCCTGTCCTACTGGAGGAGTGCTAGGACTATAGATGTGTGTCCGTAGTCCACAAGAAACTTCGGACTTTCTTTAAAGCGGATGTAGGGGATTGAACTCAAGTTGGCATGGTTGCATGGCTAATGCCTTTGCCTACTGATCCAGCTCCCCAGTCCCTAGGTTGTAATTCTTTTGACTGACTGATTTAAGGCATGGTTTATTCTCAATATCATGAAATCTTGGTGTTTTCTTCCTTACTCCCTATTTTGAATTACAGGTGGGTAAAAACTTATGAATACTGAAGGTGAATATGGGAACTCTTGCCTTTTCTATGTCTGTTCCCTTTCTTTAAGACTATATATCAAACCAGATGTCTGATGGAGCAATTCTAGATCCCATGCTATCAAAAATGTTTCATCTGGGGGTGGGGGGTCAGGGGGGAGTACCACTACAGGTATTAATTGTTAAATGGAAAAAGATCCATCTTTGGTAGTAGCCAAATACACTTCTTTAAAGTCTTTAATCTGAGTACATAGAAGCAACTGGAATGTTTTTAATCAAGAAAAATAAGAACGATTCATTTGGAAGGTAGACTGTTCAGCAATTAATCTTTTTATGTTTTCAGAACTCAGCTATGGAAATGATTTTGTCAAAACAACTTTCTCTCACTGTTCAAGAAAGCGAGCAAAACAGTGAAGATGAGCAGAAAGTCAATGAGCTGAGAGATCAGCCCTTAGAAGTGGATGTTTCATTAAGAAATGAACAATTAAAAGAGATGGAGGTATGGGAACACAAAAAGCACCGACAGCATGATTGCACCATTTAGCCAGCGCAATACAATATATTCTAATTACCAAAAACTTGCTTGTCCAGAGTGAAAAGTCTTATTTAACCTCTGCCTGATGATCAATTTGGTAACTGTATAATTACATACTAATCAGTAAGTTGTATAACTCTTTCCATTTAAGAAGTGGGAGAGTTTAATGAATATCCATCTTTTTTTTCTTTCACAAAGTTCCTGGAAACTTCTTTGGTAACAGAATTTGAGATTTTTGACTCATCGCTGTGCTTTTTAGTCAACGTGTGTTCTTCTGCTCCTGATAGATACTGTTTTTCCTAATCATTAACGTGATGGGGCCTGCCCCCTTCATTTTCACAGTCGTATTTACAAGCATTATCAATGTGTTTATGTATCCTAGCTTTGTAACCTGAAAATCCAATATATGTCCATGTTTAAAATTAAGGAAGTATAAGTGACCCCTGCTGTTTTAGACAATTTTACAGAATAGTAAACCTATATCTAAAACAGGAAAAAGGTGGTATATATAAGTAACAAAAATAAGGTGAATTTTCCTTGCATAAATTACAAAAAATTTTAAGACAATAGGGTCTTATAACAGATATTAAATGCTGAACCCATGGTCTAGATTTTAACATGGTTCTAGTAAAACAAAAATTATTTAGAGGTCAGGACCTTAGCTTCCCTGTGAACAAGTAAAATAGTACTCCCTCTCAGAGTACGATGTGTTACCCTAAAGAAAGGGAAAGGAGGGAAAAGCAATGCGCGTATATGTGCTGATTTGTGTGCTTGTTTTAGGAATTGTGTACCCATCTAGAAACAAGAAAAGCAGCTGTTGCACCTCTGGATCAATCTCAGTGTCTCAACAAAACAGCAGCAAGTGCCTCGGTTCTGCCCAGTGCCAGATCGTCAGCACTCCCCTTGGACAGTCTGCTTCACACACTTGCTACTTTGAAGAAAAATAGAGAAGACCAGTATCATCTCCTTAACAATTTTCTAGACAAGCTGGCCTCAGCTGAATTGTCACTGAAAGACTTCTTGACAGAAAAGGAAAGTCTTAAAATGTAAGTATAAGAATTCAGAAGAACTTGGGTTCTTCGCCATCTAGACAGACCTGGAGTGTTTGGAATTTATACTGTGGAAGGGTATTGTGATTTTAAAAAGCATACTATAGAAGCTGATGCCATGTGGAAGCTAGTCTAGTTCTAGTTTTGTTCAACTACTATAACAAAATACCACAAAATGGCTTAGGAACGACAAAAATTTATTTCTTACCTTTTTTTTTTTTGAGACAGGGTCTCCCTGTAGCCCTAGCTGGCCTGGAACTCACTATGTAGACCAGGCTGGCCTTGAACTCACAGAAATCTGCCTGCCTCTGCCCAGCTATTTCTTATTTAAGGTTGAGGAATCTAAGATGCTAACAAGCTTGTGTCTGGGGAGGGTTCTCTCTAGCTTGAAGATGATATCTAGCTGTGTCCTTATAGGATAGAGGGAGCAGGCAAAGAACTTCAGGGGAGGGGGATTCTCTTCATAAAGGCTCCATCTTAATGACTTAATCACTTCCCAAAGACCCCAATACCATTATGTGATCAAGTAGGATTCAACATAAGCATTTTGCACTTGAGACCCTTTCTTAAAAAAGCAAACACAGGGCAGGCAAGATGGCTCAGTGGGTAAAGGCATTTGCCACAAAGGTTTGCAACCTGATTTTAATCCCTCGGAGCTATATGGTGGAAGGAGAGAAGTGATACCTGAAGTCAAGTGTCCTCTGACTTCAACGCTTGACTCAGCATGAACACTGTTCTCCTCAATAAAAATAAATGTTTAAGAAAAGGCAAACAAAAACTAACAAAACAACAAAATTAGAATTCGTTTAGGGTAAACACAGACATTCAACCATAGCAGAAGCTATTTAAGAAAACTTTATTGGATTGATGCTAAGTATGTGCATATTA